ATCTAATAATAGGCTCTACAGGGTAACTTAGTGGACAATTGCACCATTGTAACTCATAATTTCAATCGCCTTGTCTGGCCAACCACTTAACATCAAGATTTGAATAGATATTTGAATTGAAATCATTAAAAATAGTGCAGACCCCAAACAGTGTACCCCACCACAGTTGGCGGTCAATTAATGTATTCTATGCCAAAACAGTTATTGTAGATAAAATACTGTAAAACAAAACAACAAGATGGTACTTAAAATAACTCGTTTTAATAGCACAGTTTACAGAACGTTTGCAGACATAAAAATCTTCTTAATTTAAAGACAATAAAAAAAACAACAAATCCAAGTATTTAGATTTTAGTAATACATTTATTATGGATAATGTTGACCTTTAATATATGCTTTCTGTTAATGGATAAAAAAATACTTTTATGAGGAAAGTTGTTCGAAAAAAATATATAATTATCATTAAAGAGTAAAATGGCTTTGGCAAGATTCTAACCAGTGTTGAGGAAAGTTACTTTTAAAAGTAATGCATTACAATATTGCGTTACTTCCTAAAAAAGTAACTAATTACATTACTTAGTTATTTTTTATTGAAAGTAATGCATTACATTACTTTTTAAATCTGGGCTGGGCTTGCTTGTTTGCTTTTAATATAAAAAGTTATATTTTTGGCAAATATAAAAGCCCTTTCACACCAAAAGCCTCAGGCTGAAGGAAATGTAATTCACGTCTGTACAGTAGAACACAGAAGAAGAAAGTTCAACACTCTTCCGCAATAAAAAAAATTAGAAATGTTAGTTTATCTTGTGTAATTTTTTCTTATTAGTATGGTTGAATTGGATCACTGAAGGTCAGCAGCAAATTGGTTAATAAAATGGGATTAAATACATAAAGGATATTTGTATTATTTAACATATTTAATTATTGCAGTTTTGAGTCATATTCTGAGTTGCGTTTAACTGTTTTTATTCATTTTGAGGAAAACTAAATCTGATTTTTTTTTATGAGTGAGTGAGATGAATTAATGCATGTTCACATTTATTCTAGAACTAAAGTAACATCTAACTCCCGGTTTCTCTCTTTTGAAAAAGTAACTCCGATATTCTCTTGTAAATTAAAAAGTAATGCGTTACTTTACTAGTTACTTGAAAAAAGTAATCTGATTACGTACCTCGCGTTACTTGTAATGCGGTACCCCCAACACAGATTCTAAACAATGTTAATTTTAACATATTTTTAACGTTTGCTGGTATAAATGGAAAAATATTATAACATTCATCCAAACTCAGTACCATCTGCGAAACAGGAAGACTTTTAGTTTGAAAAAATAAAATGCATTGAGTGCTAAAATGCATTGAGTATAAACTGGACTTTTATTCTGAAAAGCGTTCAATGGCTGCAGCGTACTGCGCACACATGATATCACACCGGTATCGCTAGCTTTATCTAGAGGATTTTCAAGTATATAACATTCAGGTGTCATTTAAAAGCTCTTTCTCATTTTCAGCGCGGACTTGCTGAAGGTAAAGTGTGTTTTTAAAGCGCGGCTGGATCTAATGTCCTGTGCTCGCGACCGAAGGTCATGGTTAAAGTGATTCACGAACACGTTATAACTGATGTAACGTTAGCTGTAATAGCTGATCGCTGTTCTCTGGTGGTTATTGCAGCATGTGTGTGTCTGGAGGAGTGTTGAGGCGCGCGGTGACCGCCTGTCAATCATCGGCTCTGCTGTGCGCGAGGCTCTTCAGCGCAGGTGACGCACAGATCCACTGCTGAGCCACTCTCTGTAATGTGTGCAGTGTGAGTAAAGTGTGCTGTATATCACACAGGCACGTGCGCTAGAATACGAATGCACGCTGTTCCCAAACTCAAAGAGGTGGATCGATGGACGGAGAAGAGAAGCATGTTTGGAGTCTATGACAACATCGGGATCTTGGGTAAGCGCATTATAACTTAAAGGGGTCATATGAAGCGATTTCAATGTTTTCTTTCTCTTTGGAGTGTTACAAGCTCTTGGTGCATAAAGAAGATCTGTAAAGTTGCAAAGACTAAAGTCTCAAATCCAAAGAGATATTCTTTATAAAAGTTAAGAGTCAGCCACACCTACCTAAAACAGCTCGTTCTAACACGCCCCCACATATCTACGTCACTATGTGGGAAGATTTGCATAACGCCGCCCAAATGTTCACGCAAAGAAAGAAGGCGTAACTTTTATTCTCGCTGTAGTATTGTTGCTGCCGCCGCCGCCATGTCGTGAAGACACTGTGTGCTTTGTTGTGAAAGCGAAACTACTTTGTTTGGTCTTCCAAAAGAGGACACGACTAGAAATCAGTGATTAAGTTATATTTACAACACTGTTCCAGAACAGTTCAACCCAAATATACAGATGTGTGCAGCGCATTTTATGGAGGACTGTTTCCTGATCCTGGGAGAGTAGACTACAATGCCGGCTGTTCTGACTCGCAGACTGTAAGTACGTTTTTTATATTTAAATAATTTGCCACTGAAGATTCAAACGTGAAAATAATGTGTTTTTTTATCCTTAAACCGCATAAACACATTGCATTACACCAAATACATAAAATAACGTTCTTTTTAGCAGCATCATATGACCCCTTTAAATACATAAACATTTTTACCCCTTAAGTGCTATTTATTAAATAATTTCACTGTGCATTTCTATAGAGAATGTTTTTTTTTTCTCAATTTCTATATTTCATTGGCTAGAATAGAAATCGCTCTTTGTGAGTTCAGTCTGCTGTTGTGTTCAACTTCTGTGTTGCGTTGGTTTTCACGCAGTTTCCCAGAAATCGACAAAATACACGATTCAAGAAAAAAACATGTTGCAGAGACTAAACAGAAATACAGTATATGAGAAATTCCATAACTTCCATATATTTCTATTATGTAGTGTGAATATTTTATGTTCAAATTAGCTGCACGGACATGGAATTAGAAAAATGCATTTTTGTCATGAGCTTGTAGTGTAGTATTTGCAATTGAGGTGCATATAAGTAAATATGATCTAATATTATATGTACCTAGTGTTAGTATATATTGCTATTTGTACTTTTGTTGTCTTTTTCTCAAAGCCTTGTGAGGGTCAAATGGGTTTCGTTTCTCACACTTCTTTTCAGTGCTGCATCAGTCTAATAAATGAGCTCCAAAAATAAAAAAATAATAAAAAACTAAAAATTTGACTTTTTTTTTTTTTTACTGAACTCAACTAGATAAAATTGAATTCTCCTTGGATGAATAAGTAGACCCGTGTTAATTTTGAGTAAAATTCAGGTCTTAACTTTAGTAAATTCTTATGTATTTCATACTTTATTGTAGCTTGTCAAACACTAAAGTACGTTTTTCTTTTTAAACCTGACTCTTTGCTCAAGGTGATTTTTGGCAAATTGCATTTAAGAGTCAGATTGTCTCGACACAAAAGTCTTAAAATTGGTGCAGCCTGCATAAACTTTGCATGCACATTCATTACGCTAAATGAAAAGTAGTAAAAAAATGAATAGTTTAACCAGTTTTTCAAGCAGTTTGAAAACTGAATGCAGGTCAAACTGAACCCAACACTACAGGAGGCATTTAAAATGGTTTTTACAAATCCTCATCCAGTAATCGTGAACTACTGTGATATAAAGTGTGCTGTAGGAACCCTAGATCTCAGTATCAGTATTCAGTGTGTATTTTAATAGCTTTGCTCTCAAATCAATTAGATACAAAATGTGAACATGCAGTAAGATAATGAAGGTGCTTTTTACTAAATGAACATATGCATGCACCAAAACAACAATACACAGTGAAAAATGCACTTAAATTATTTCATATTTACCTAGTAAATAACTTGAATGCATGTAAAATGCCACACAGAGAGTTCCATGAGCATGATGCAAACAAACAAATCACTGTATTTTGAACAGATTAATTCTGACTCATGAAAATGATGAAAATGAATTCCTTGTTCCGGTTCTAATTGGTCTCATTGTGCTACTGAGATGTGATTGAAATATTTGTCTTGATGTGCTTTGTTTTAAATGACCTACCAGGACAGTCCCTAGGAAACATAATGGACAAATAATGCATTAAAATGCGAAATGTTCTGCATAAATCATCCAGCACTACATTGATCAGCATTGACTGTGTTTGACTGCAGGAGATTTTAAAGCTCATCCAAAAGACCTGATCCGGGGACCGGTGTGGCTCCGAGGCTTCAGCGGAAACGAGCTCCAGCGGCTCATCAGGAAGAAGCGGATGGTGGGAGAGCGAATGCTGACCGAGGACAAGCACAGCCTGGATAAGAGGATCAGCTTCCTGTACCGCCGCTTCAACAGATACGGCAAACACAGATAGACTCCACCACAGCCGCATGCTTCACTTGTACGGATGTGGAGCGCATTTGGTGTCAAAAGTTCTGGTCGTTAACTCTTTCACCGCCAGCATTGTTGAAAAAAGTTGCCAGCCACCGCCAGCGATTTTGATGATTTTCACTACAATTTGATGGCCTCCGGTATAATTTGCTGTATGAATATTTGAATATGCAATACGCCAAAATAAAGATCCTCTACTTTTAAACAAAAAAAAAAAAATCTGTTTTATTCTAGCTTAACGCATTCTTTTTTTATCAACACTTGAATATAGGTAGGTTTCATAAAAACTGCATAATTGAGCAAAAAGGTGAGAAAATCACATTTTTATCAAACACTACATCTGGATAATATTCAGTATGATTATCAAAGCATAAATCCAGTAAATCGCTTCCATCAACACCTCCAAAGCTTGCACAGACATCACTTCCTGGATCGTAACATTATGCAGTTTTCATTTATATGCTGTCTATTGCTGATGATCGCATTATTTTTCATATGCATCTGTTTCCATAAGAGATCGCTCGTTTCTCCGGGAGGTTTTGTACTCGTAAATGCGTAATAGCGACCCCCGAGTGTATAAAAGCCGTAAAAACTTGTCTTTGGCAGGGGAAGCGTTTTCTTGTAAAAGACGAAGTTAAACTGAAAAAACGTTTAATGTCTTCATCATGACAAAAGATCGGGCCCAAATGCTGGAGTTACATAAAAAAGATTTATAAAAAAAAGTCGTAATTTCCCGACAAAAATTTTTTTTCACCCCCACAAAAACAGTTTGGTGATTTCATGCATGCTGGGAGTTAGAGTCTGTCAGCCTCGGCGTGCTCTTCTTCCGGTCTGGGATCAGTGAGACGGTGAACTAGGGCTGGGGAATCCTGTGAACTGACCCTCCGTCACGAGCGGATGCTCCGACTCCATCTGACGGGAAACAACAAAACACACTTTAAAACATCCGCGAAGACGAGCGTCACCATTACTGCTGCTTATAGCTATTGCAGCATTTGTGCACCAATGATTCCTCGAATCATGAGGAGAGGCGTGATGCTTTCAAATAGAGTTAATGGAGATGCATGTGATTCAGCAGTGCACATTTCAATTTGAATGTGCATTAAGAAAATAAACAATGTCAGTTCAGAACTTCAGACTATAATGTTCTCTATGGAAGTCGCTTTCTGAAATGATGTTTCATCTCGGTGGAAAATAATATTACATGCATTAATGGGTCACTGACACACTACTGTTTGGGGTCAGTAAGATTTTTTAATACTTTTTTTTTTTCAGCAGAGACATTAAAATTATGAAAAAAGTGACAGTAAAGACATTTATAATGCAAAAAAATTAAAAATCAATTTTAAATAAATGCTGTTCTTTTGAACTTTCTATTCATCTGTGAATCCTGAAAAATCAAATGCATCAGTTTCCACACAAATATTGTGCAGCACGACTGTTTTCAACATTGATAATAATCAGAAATGTTTCTTGAGCAGCAAATCAGCATATTAGAATGATTTCTGAAGATCATGTGACACTGAAGACTGGAGTAATGATGCTGAAAATACAGCTGCGCATCACAGAAATTAAATACACTTTAACAGATTTTCACATAGAAAACAGCTGTTTTAAATTGTAATAATTTTCCACAATTTTTACTGTATTAGATCAAATAAATGCAGCCTCGATCTTGCCGACCCCAAACGTTTGACCAGCAGTGTAGAAGCATACTGCATTGAGGGTTTCTATTCTTTAAACCAAAGTCTCCGGGTCTCTTATACCTGTGCATCTCTCTCTCTGTCCTTTGGGACCCGGTGTCTCTTTTTCTTTGGTCCAGCTGCCGACTGATGAGGACACGTTGGAGAAGAGCTTTCTTCATCAGCACCAACAGCTGAATCTAAACCTGCCTTCCCTTCATCCTGTAGGAACACATGAAGTGTGAAGCACGAGTCATCGATACAGACTGTAGTGTTAGAACAAACAGTTTAATTAATATCAAACTGAAAACTTGGGATCGGAATTGGGTGACCTCCAGTGTGATGGTGAGCTGTGCCGTCCTGTAATCATCTCCATACGAGTCCAGAGTCTTCATCAGAAACCTGACACACACACACGTTCAGCCATTAAACATGCTACTGTGTTACGATACTAATGGAACAAATGAGAGATTCACAGTTGGGATAGATAATCAAAAAATAAATCAAAAGATTAAAGAAATAGTTCACCCAAAAATTAAAATTTGTTTAAATGTGCTCACCCTCAGATGAGTTTGCTTCTTCATCAGATTTGTAGAAATGTAGCATTGCATCAGTGTCTCAGCAATGGGTGCTCTGCAGTGAATGGGTGCCGTCAGAATGAGAGCTGATAAAAACATCACAATAATCCACAAATAATCCACAGCACTCCAGTCCATCAGTTAACATCTGGAGAAGACAAAAGCTGAAACAAATCCAGCATTAAGACGTTTTTAACTGAAATATGAGTCCATAATTCATAATAACGCTTCCTCCAGTGAAAAAGTGTTCTGGTGTGAATCAGGAGAGAAATCTGCACAGATCAAGCAGCGGTCAAACAGCTCTAAACACATATGTGGCTGGATTTGATGTACTTTTGATGGACTCATATTTTGTCCAAAACTACAAAAAAAAAGGTCTTGATTTCTTGGTTTCTTACAAACACGCAGCTTGTGTCTTCTCCAGATGTTAACTGATGGACTGGAGTGCTGTGGATTACTTGTGGATTATTGTGATGTTTTTATCAGCTGTTTGGACTCTCGTTCTGACGGCACCCATTCACTGCAGAGCATCCATTGCTGAGACACTGATGCAATGCTACATTTCTACAAATCTGATGAAGAAACAAACTCATCTGAGGGTGAGCACATTTAAGCAATTTTTCATTTTTGGGTAACTAATTCCTTAAATCATCAGTAGCAGTCATTGTTATGACTCTTATTCAGTTTATGCTTTTATTAATATGCTCTAGTGTTTCTATGTTCACGTGTACCTTCTTTCTTTCCTCAGTCGGCGTGTCAGTCTCTGCACCTGGTGAAGTCGTCCCAAAATCTTCTCATTTACCTGAGAACAGGTTCATAAGTCATACGTGTAAACTTTCACAAACATCCATCATGTTGTGCTACAAATGCGTGTATTTTTTCCAGGCAACACAAAAGGTGAATTTCTGAAGAATATCCTGACCACTCTTTTTCCCTTTTAGATTCAAAAACTGAGCTTTAGTTTTTCATGGACGAAAGTCAGAGTTTGCACTGGTTTATTGGAAGTCTGTTCACCTGTTCAATCTCCTTGCACCTCTTGCTGAGAGCTTGATACTTCTTTTTGTCCAGCTCCCTCCTCTCATCTTCCTCGTCCTGTGCGGGGCCCGACGGGGCCCCATCGCTATCCAGGAGCTCAGTGCCGCTGGGGCCCAGCTCCACGCCACCCGTCTCCAGCTCCGCTTCCAGAAAGTGACCCCCGAACAGCGGAGGAAGAGCCAGACCTGAGAAATCCTCCATCATCTGAAGCACACAGAACTCACATAAACCAGACGTGCTGTTCGAAAAGTGCATTCAATAAAGCATACCATATTAAGTTAGTAACGTTAATAAAACAGCATATTCCACGAGTGGATTACAGATAATTTGTTAATGATCTTACTGATAACTAAGCATGCTTCTATCAACTCAAATATCAATATGCTAATATGAGTTCCACGCTTAAAACCCGTTTTAATGATTTTAACTCTATACTCGCCTTTAAGTTAGTAATATTGTAAAGAGCCACACATGATTCAGTCAGTTTATTATAAATCCTGCAGGTGTTTTCTACTCCTCATCAGTTCGGTCTATGCATAATTGAATCGAAGCACAAGCAAGTAAATAAAACTAAACATCTACATCTCCAAACAACAAGACGCGTTTTAAATACGTCATTGACCGTTCAGCCAATCCAGAGCGAAAGCGTCACCAACATTATTGAACTACATTTCCCATGATGCCTGAGACAGGACTACAAAAGCGAACATGGCGGCCAGTAAGTATTTTTTTTTGCGCGTTAGCTGCTTGATAGATATTGTGTTCTGTTTTAGCTCGTCTCGGTCGTGTTTGCAATAACAGATTAAACTGGGAGCTCACGAGGGCTATCACAATATATCCGTGTACTAAAAATAATGAATGTATAATGTGGAAATACGAGAATGACCTTGGTCTCATATTAACGTTAGCTGTCGTTTGCTTTGAACACACATTGAAAACATGATTTATATCGATACGAGAACTTATCTGACGCCTCTAGAATGCTAACAGAATCTGCCAGAATGTACCATGCTACTAGCATGTTTTATTTCCGACGTGGCAGTAATTCAGCACTATTATCGTGTACCGCGGTATTACCGTGTGATACCGTTAGGCATGTTATGCACTGCAGTCAAACTCTAGTTTCTCTAGTTGGCAGGTTTTTGAAGAACGCTTGGAATAAAGAGCCTGTGATCACAGTTTCCTGCGGTATCGGGCTGCTGGGTGAGCGAGACATTAATGCACAGCATCACATTATGGATCTTCATCGTCCTGCTTTATGAATTTTAAGATATATATATATATATATATATATATATATATGTTGTGTTTTCAGCTTGCGTTTTGCCGGCTTTGAGCCCTTTAACGAAGTACACAGGAATGATGAACCAAGCGATTCCATACAATTATCCAGGTATATTATCCTTCTGCAGTGTGTAAACGCCCGACACCAGGGTTATTTGGGTGTTTCTTTAATTTGGGGAATTTGTAAATAAATATATATATTTAGCTATGATATTTATTGGTGTTTGTGTGTATTTTATTATTATTATGTCATTATCGTCATATTTGAGATACTATTACAGTTTTTATTACTATTTTACATTTTTCATTTAAAGTTCTAGCCAAAAGTAGAACTTATTATATTAAAACCAAACATGCAAGCCCAGACCAGATGAGAAAACGTAACGCAACACAATACTTTCCAAGTAACAAAGTAACTAACAAAATAAGGGAGTAATGCAATATTGTAATGCATTACATTTAAAAAATAACCTTCCCCAACACTGAGTAAATAACCACAGAATTTACATTTGGATCAACTATTCCTTTTAAAAAAATGTGATTATGAAATGTGCATTTGTGTACCAGAAAATACATATCTTTTTTATACTCACCAACCTGTACATCTAATACATTTCATGAAACTAAATCGGGAATCATCTCCACAAATATCAGTTGCCAAAAGCTTTGTCATCATTTTCACTGCAGACATCACACATCACAGTAAAGGAGTTCAAATACTGAAGAAGCCACATTATGAGATCAAACGTTAGAGGTCGATTTTTCCATGTTCTATCCCATGTGCACTCATCCGAAATACATAAAACCCTCTTGAAATATTTCATTTTCTTATAACGTAATATATATTGAATATGCATTTGATCAGCTAAATCCTAAATGATCTAAATGCATTGAACTGCACTTCATTCTCTGATACTAGTTATTGTATAAATGGGTTTCTGTATGCAAAAGTGTAAGCTCAGAGGTTGGGTTATTCATGACGCATTAACAGGAGCATCTCTGGCTGTCAATCAAAGGCTCTGCTGTAAAACCCTCTTGAAATATTTCATTTTCTTATAACGTAATATATATTGAATATGCATTTGATCAGCTAAATCCTAAATGATCTAAATGCATTGAACTGCACTTCATTCTCTGATACTAGTTATTGTATAAATGGGTTTCTGTATGCAAAAGTGTAAGCTCAGAGGTTGGGTTATTCATGACGCATTAACAGGAGCACCTCTGGCTGTCAATCAAAGGCTCTGCTGTATCAGCGGGGCGGAGCGATCATTGGTCACCGTCTTCTTGAGTCGAATATGAGCGAACGGGTTGATCCTGTGAAGAGGGGACGGTTAAATGAACTAACCCATCAGACATGGAGAGCTCTTCTGAACACAGGGGACTAGCTTTACCTGCTGGGTGATGGAGGCGTCGAGGTGAAATCAGTCGACGTCTGAGGAACATGAAAACACATGTCAGCAGAATATAAGCCGATATATTCTAAATCCCAGCATGATTTAGTCAGAAAGAGATATAAATGAACATTTACAATGGAAAAGGTTCCAATGAAAAAAATTAATAATAATAATCTTCTGTAAGGATCCTCTTGAGACACTACAAGCAAAACATTCGTTTTTCATGCACTGGTCAGTTTTGAGATTTTGGGCTATTTTGCTTCCATAACTTATGTGTATGAAAACATCCAAAATACACATTTAAAGGGACAGTTCGTCCAAAAATGAAAACTCTTGTCATCATTTAATCACCCTCAAGTTGTTCCAAACCTGTATGAGTTTCTTTCAGCTGTTGAAAAAAATCAACTGTTTGGTTTCTGACATTCTTCAAAATATCGTCTTTTATGTTTAACATTAGAAAGAAACTCATACAGGTTTGGAACAACTTGAGGGTGATTAAATGATGACAGAGTTTTCATTTTTGGGTGAACTGTCCCTTTAAATGTGTATTTTTATTGCACTTTGACTATTTGCAACTGTAGATTTTAATTCCAGTACATATCTTTAAAGGCTGTTCGTATAACACCTTTAACTTTAATGCATCAACAAAATCAAACAAGAATCAAACCTGTTTTTATCCAATGTTCAGATTTCTGTTCTGGAATTGTATGTAAATTAGTGCAAAAATAATGTACCGTGGTTTGTTTTTTCCCTATTCACCTGCATTGTCTTAAAGGAATAGTTCACCCAAAAACAAATAAATAAAAATGTGCTGAAAATGTGCTCACCCTCAGGCCCTCCGAGATGTAGTTGAGTTTGTTTCTTCATCAGATTTGGAGAAATGTAGCATTGCATCAGTGTCTCAGCAATGGATGCTGTGTAGTGAATGGGTGCCGTCAGAATGAGAGCTGATAAAAACATCACAATAATCCACAAATAATCCACAGCACTCCAGTCCATCAGTTAACATCTGGAGAAGACAAAAGCTGAAACAAATCCAGCATTAAGACGTTTTTAACTCAAATATGAGTTCATAATCCATAATAACTCTTCCTCCAGTGAAAAAGTGTTCTGGTCTGAATCAGGAGAGAAATCTGCACAGATCAAGCAGCGTTCAAACAGCTCTAAACAAATATGTGGCTGGATTTTGATGCGAGAGACAACAGGAGATGCACTTTTTCACTGGAGGCAGTATTATTATTGATTATGGACTCATATTTTGGCCAGAATCAACTGTTTGAAGTTAAGAACGTCTTAATGCTGGATTTGTTTCAGTTTTTGTCTTCTCCAGATGTTAACTGATGGACTGGAGTGCTGTGGATTATTGTGATGTTTTTATCAGCTGTTTGGACTCTCATTCTGACGGCACCCATTCACTGCAGAGCATCCATTGCTGAGACACTGATGCAATGCTACATTTCTCCAAACCTGATGAAGAAACAAACTCATCTACCTCTCGGATGGCCTGAGGGTGAGCACATTCACAGCACATTTTCATTTTATTCAAACAGTAATACAGTCACAGGTGGTGGTTTCTCTGACCCTCATCCTGCTGGTCTCGGGGTTCATCATGCTGTAGGGTCGTGGTCTGAAGGTGCTGATGCGCTGAGACAAGACGCTCCTCTCGTCCTCGGAGTCAGGACTGACCTGCGGCATCTGACCCGCGGGGGGAAGCCTGTCCAGCTGCCCCATACTGGTGCTGTTCACCTTCGACAGAGCAGGAGGACTGCAGCCGTGATGAGAGACACAGAGAAGAAGAGAGGAGTGATGGGAATGCATGCCCTTCTGAGACAGCAGCAAGATATTACTGTACGTCATTCGGATGGGGCTTTGTTTTTCCTACAGACCTGAGATCTTGTCCGGGAGTGTTGGGGAAAGGCTGTGTGTAGGAGAAGGGAAACCAGCCTTTTCTATGAAGGAGAGTTCAGAACATCAGCATAACAATAAAAGATGAGCATTTGAATATCTGAACAGCAGCTCTTCTATGCTTGTTTGTTTTAAAAGGCCTGTTCATACAAGACTGAAATGGACAGGCTGGGAAAAAATTGCTGATGATGTTTGTTCAAACCAGATGAAATGAAATGCACTGCAGTTAATAATATGCATTAATGCACAGAAAAAAAGCCCCTCTGATAATATAGATTGCACTGTATTTCAGACACGTGATCCCAAAGCTCACACTTACTGTACTCTATCTTTCCATCTTCAGCAGCATTGTTATCATTAACAAACACTAAACCTATTAAAAATGTCTTTAATTGAAATAAAACAGAAACAAAATTATTGAAATATTACACAAAAAATTTAACATTTTATCTCACGTAGCTAACAAAGCAACATTTCTAATTTCTAATTTAATTTTAATGTAATATTTATATTTAATTTTAATCTAAATCTATTTAAATCTTGGATTAATTTTTGGTCATTTTGTTGTGTTTTTTAAATTTTTGGTTTTAAAAAATATTTCTATTATGCTTTTTAAATTGTAGTTTCAGTCATTTTAGTACTTATTTTATTTCAGTTAGTGGCCAAAGCAACATTTCTAATTTTCATTTAAAGTACCGGTACTTAAATTACTGAAATTAAAGCTAAAATAAACATTTCTAAAAATGTAATAAAAAAAACAGACTAATAAAAATGACAACAACATACAACACAATGGCCAAAAATTTAAATAAAATATAAATACAGAAGAAATAAATTAGAAATGTTGCTTTGGCAACTAACTGTAAATAAAATAAGTTTAAGTAATAAATTACTCAAACTAAAATAAAAATGAATAAAAACATACATAAAAAAAAACGAATAAAAAAGACAAACAACAAAAAGTTGGACAAAAAATTTAACTAAAATTAAAATAAAACTGAAAATATAAAAATACAAACAATTTCAAAATATTACTAAATACTATATTAGTATATTAATAATACTAAAATAACACTGATCCTCAAAATCTTGGTTTATGCCAATCCATTGTAAAATGACCATATAAGCTTTGTTCTAGGAACAGGCCCCTCATATTGCTGCTGATATAATTATTTAGTTCTGCACCACAAATCAGTATGAAAATGACGCATAGCTAATGTTTAAAGTGCCCCTATTATGCCATTTTTAAGGTTGCTAATAATGTTTTATGAGTCTCCTAAAACAGGTTTACATGCATGCAAGGTCAAAAAACACGTTAGTTAATTAGTTTTCTCAAAAAACAGATTTCATTTTACCTCATTTCTAAATGATTCGTAAATGAGCCCTCACTGCTGTGATTGGTCAGATGGCGCAGTCCTTTGTGATTGGTCCAGAGCCGTAGAGAGACTGCTCTGGATTGGATACAGGATACAGCGTCTTCTCGACATGAGGTTAACCACACGGAAATGTTACTGTTTGTGGGCGGGCAAGTTGGCGACGTAGAACGTGGGCGGACATTATGCAAATGTGTTACTTTGTGACGTAGAGCCGTAACAGAATAAGATTCGAATTCCTGATGACTCGTTTAAGCGATTGCGAGCCGACTCTTTTTTTTTATAGACAACGACTTTATTTATCGTGCACTGTCGGCTTCACAACTTTGCAGATAGTTTATGTTCACATTCAGCTACATGACACACTGCATGAAAGGTAATATTCGAAAAGGCATAATAGGGGCACTTTAACTGTCCCTGACTGAAAGGCTGATGGTCAGATACCGTCCCGTGCGCTCGTTCTGGCCGTAGTGCCAGCCGTCTCTGGGTTCACTGATCAGCAGGGACAGAGCGTCTCCAGGCAGGAAGGACAGCAGACATGAGCTTCCTCCTCGGTCTCCTGGCTTCTCTGCCTCGCAGGAGTCTGGGGAGTGAGGGAACAGAGCCTCCACACGGGACGGAGCACAGAGAGGAAGCACTCGGGGAAGAGTCGAGCCTGAACAACACAACCATAACATACAGTTATAGAGAGCACAGAGACACAAAAATATAAACTCAGGAATCTTCACATGGCGATCTCAGTTCATAGTGACCACGACTGTCAAGCTCCACCATAAAAGTCTCAAAATGCTTGGAATAAAGTGCACAGGTCATTGGACTTATTTTAATGGTGTTTTTGCTCCTTTTTGAAGCTTGAAGGCCGCCAGAAGAGTGTGTGAATGCTCTTTTAAATTCACCTTTTTTGTTCCACAGAAAACATATGGAAACAAGTGGGAAGAGTTTGAAACGGTGTTGTTATTGTTCTAAAATACTAAAAAATGATAAATATCACCTTGGCAACTAATTGAAATAAAATAGTTTTAGGTTAAGTAAATAAAAGTTTAAGTACTTAAATTACTAACATTAAAATAAAAGATAATACATAGTTATAGATTTAAATTAAAGCTAAATGGAAATGATACGAAACGAATAAAAAATTCTAAAGTACACAATTACTAAAACTTAAACTAAAATGAACATGAAAATAAAACATCTGAAAATTAAAACTATTAATAAATACTATAATAGTACAAATAATACTAAAATAACACTGTTATATATATTATAAATATATATCAAGAAATGTCCATATTATTTTACCTAAAAGTAAAACTATATTTCACATAAAGAAAATTAAGCCTATGTTTTTACACTATTATGTTTTACTTTTGGATTGTGCCATTTTCATGACAATTAAATCAATTTAATGTGAAAACAATCTCATTCTTACTACTGTAATGCAATAAAAAGTATATTATTCTAACTCTAAGGTGCATCTGGGATTATGCATTGTACTCTGTTTATTAATCATATTTGTATAATAAAAAAACCCTCATTACTGCGTTACAGTACTGACAATGACATTTTACTTGAAGGATAAGTGTCAAGAAATTATTTGAATGTTAATATATATATACAGAGGCGGACAAAGTACTCAACTCCATTACTTGAGTGAAAGTACAGATACTGCTGGTCAAATATTACTCCATTACAAGTAAAAGTTGTAAGGAAGATTGTTACTTAAGTAAAATATAAATACTCAAAGATAATTTTATTTTACTCAAGATTATTTTGGAAGGATTTAGAAAGCTATAATAGCAGAAATCTGCAGTGTATGATACAAATTTATGTATTTGGTGTGCTTTTATTATTTTTAGAATGACATTTTAAAAAGTAAAGAACAATACATTATACGATTATTTATTTAATGAGGAAAGTATCATAAAATAAGTGGGCTCTAATTTTATAAATGAGATTAAATAATAATAAAAAAAATTAACAAACTAAAAATAAACCAAAAAAGCGCAGAAAACATGTAATAAATGTTATAAAAGTACTAAATGTATATTATATTATATATAAAAACATATATTAAAATTGTGACAATTTAGTTGAATAATTTAATAGTCAATCACAGACAAAGCAATCCCGAATCTCAGTAAAAGTGATTCATCTGAAAGGTAAATTTATTATATGATTTATATACAGGCATATCAATATTTACATATTTAATTTTATATGAAATATTATTTCATATTTCATTTATAAGATATGTCTTAATAGCAACACTGTAAATGAAGATTAAATTATTTCACTATAGGTTTTAATGAATAGCAGAGATGTCTGAAATGTACATTTAACTCATGAAATTACTGAATAATAACCCAATGAATTAATAAGTATTAAATTAACACTAAGTAATAACACTACAGCATGCCACTTGTCCTTCTGGGTCTAATTTGAGCTTTTTACTTCAAAATGTAAACAATATTTTTACTCCACAAATCTAAAAACACTGATGTATATTTTACATAAAGAACAAAAATCCTATTATAAAACGGAGAGTTCTGGTCCTTGATTCTGATTGGCTGAGCCGCGTTCCAAGCTGTTGTAAATTACTCTATAAAGTAACATACACCTTTGTTTACGTTTGTCTGTTGCTCGGCAACCACTTTGTTGCAACCACAACTGATTCTGAGGAGCTACATTGTTTTTATTAATATCATTACACTTTATTTGCTCTGTTTTATTTTGTGAAACCTTACTACGTATATGGAATAACCGTTTTATAAAAGCAATTAGCCCCCGTGAAGCTGTGGTTTACAGTGAATTTATAACAGCTAAGGGGCGTTTTAAAACGCCCCTTAGCTGTTATAAATTCACTGTAAACCATGGCTTCACAGGGCTTATTGCTTTATTTTATGACTATTATGTTCACCATTATGTATTTTTTTCATTGTTACAATATGAAAATCTGAATATGTATGTCGCTCACTTGTTCTGCGGGCTGAGTGATTCCCAGTTTAGCGTTGCGCAGGACCTCGGCGAGTCCTGCTCCTCCAGAGCTCTGGGGGGCAGTGTGACGGAGCAGGCTCAGCGCTCGCTCCGGGAGCTTGGTTGGCTGCGCACATGACTGTTGCCACGATGACAGCTTCTGAGACAATAGCTCTCTCACCTACCAAACAAAATCAGTTCTTTAGACTGTTGCGTTGCTATCTACAGAAGTGCTCAGCTTAGAGCCTCTTCATCTCAGCAGTCGTTCAGATTTTTTTCTTCATGCTGATGTTTGTCATTTCTATGGAAGCCCATTTCCGCCACTGAATAAAAACTAAAAACAGTAATTGTGACTTTTAATCTCACAATTGTTTTTTAAAGAAAAAAAAAAATTTTTTTTCTCAGAATTGCGTGATACGAACTCGCAATTCTGACTTTTTGCGTGTTATAAAGTCAGAATTGCGAGATATAAACTGGCAATTGCGAGAAAAAAAGTCAGAATTGTGAGTTTATATCTCACAATTCTGTGAAAAAAAGTCAAAATTGTAAGATAAAAAGTCGCAATAACCTTTTTTATTTTTTATTCAGTGGCGGAAATGGGCTTCCATACATTTCTTCACCAATCTAATTTCAAACACAGTTGTTGGCTCAGGCTCACTAGAAAAACATGCCTGTAGCGACATTTCTGCGAGTTTGTATCACGCAATTCTGAGAAAAAAAGTCCGAATTGTGAGATAAAAAGTCGCAATAACCTTTTTTATTTTTTATTCAGTGGCGGAAATGGGCTTCCATACATTTCTTCACCAATCTAATTTCAAACACAGTTGTTGGCTCAGGCTCACTAGAAAAACATGCCTGTAGCGACATTTCTGCAAAATGACATTACGCTGATTCTTGACAGAGAAGTGGCACTAAAAGCTTGTTCAGTTTTATCCGAAACAGTTGAATCTGGAAACATTTTATGAGACCTACTCCCATGATGCTTTGCACGAATTATGGGAGTAACTTAAAGTCTACATTAACACATCACTTTCAACATACCATTAATAACCAAAAAATCTAGATTTTTTTCTGCAGCAATAGTTTTGACTTTTAGTTTAATATCACTGTAACAATACATGCTTGTTAACTCTTTCCTCGCCATTTTCCAGCTTTCTGTGTTTTTACTGTTATACAGTAGGAGGCGCTATTACACATCTTCTGATCTTCTAAACACAGTGAAGAAGAAGCAGAAACCAGCGAACGCATATGCCAGGGGTCTGGGGGGCCGAGTCATTTCCGTCATTTTGACAGACACAAGCCTTTGTGAATTTTTTGAATTCTTAGGGAATTCAAGTGAATCATTATATGGGATATATCATAAATTAAATCGGGGGAGCAGACCACAAATGCACAGTATATGTTGTCTCTTTTCATATTGTTACAGCGAAATACAAAGGAAAAATGAAAATAATCAGGAGGAAAAGATGCTGAGAAGAGCTCTTGCCACAGATATTCTTGAAATATCACGTCACATTAAAATGCCAATGTTATTCATTGATATACATTACACGTTATCAAACTGACGGATAATGATTATTTGTAGCACAGCTACAATTTGAAGTGATTTGTTTCAGTCTTTTTGAAACCGGAAGAGCCTCCCATAATTTAGAAGACAGTAGACTCATTAGGAAAAAGGTGGATAATGTTAACGCAAATGTGAGATAAAGATCCATCTGCTGAAGAATGTCTTTTTATCTTGCTTCTACAAGTATTTGAGCTTTTATAGTGACTTGTGTTTCATGGGACTCGTACCTGAGCGCTTCACAATACAAATGTAAAGCTGTACCGGGTGCGCTACCGAGCAAGTTTACCACATCAGAAAAAACACCCATATGGAGAGTTCGTTTCAGCTGGAAACTGCAGTGAATAGTACATATAGGTACTTTTTTGAGTTTTGCTAGAATGTAGGTAGAGGCACATTTTTCCAGTGAGGCTGTTGTGTTTGCTATGTGTTAGCTGGTTGAAGCTCGGATCTGTAGTGTTACCTTGCAGTGGTAGTTGGTGAGGATCTTGGTGACTGAACACTGACGGTCCACCAGAAAGCAATAGCGTCGCCTTTCTTCTGTCAGAGCGGAGCGGTAACCAACGGCAACCAGAGAGTCCAGCTCGCCCTGCCGGCGACTCATCAGCTCCACATACTGTTACAGTGAGAGAATTTACATAAAATCAGCTTTAAATAGAATCTGAAAAATGTACAGCAAGACTGGAATGTAAAACAACCAACTAAAGTTCTGACTTCTTAAAGCAGGGGCTCCCAAACTTTTTTGTCAGCCGAACCCCTTGGGCATAAAATATTTACTTGAAGTCCCCCTTAGATTTTGAGTTAATATTTCAATAATTTAACAACACATTTGCATGTTCATGGTTCTCTTATGTCGGTTAATCGTGATATGACATAAAGGTAAATAAATAATATTTAAACTTTTTTAAATAAGTGTTTTATTTTGAGCTGGACTTTAAAATAGACTCAAACCTCTTATTAGTTGTATTAACATTAATAATAATAATAATAATAATAATAATGTTTAATAAAAAGAAAAATAAACAATAATCTAATTATTATTATTATTTGTTAATAATTATCATTATTGTTTTCACTAATTCTAAAAATTAAAATAAATATATTACAGTTGTAAATTACAATTGTACTGTAACATAAAAAACAAATTAGTGATAATTATAAAAAATAATAACTATTTTAATTTACAATACTAATATTTGTCAAATTTTTCGTTTTTACTTCCAAACGTTCAAATCCACGTGCTTTTAACATTTTAAATTCTCAAGCTTTTATTTTGGCGGAATAAGGCTGAAATGCTGTAAACTCCTGTCCACAAAAATGTTGGGAAATTTGTAAACGTGTAACTAAAGTAAACCTAGTGCACATTGTGTTCCCAAATGCGCATTAAACTCGCAGTACATGTAGAGATAACGGTGGCTGCATTGACTCTGAACCGAGAAGCTCAGAGATACTGAAAACAGTGAATGACGAGCTGCTCGCGTGTAAATGAACACAGTGCTGCGCTTCACTCTCAAACACACAGCACATCAGACTACACAGTTCTTTAATGAAATCACACCTTTTGATTTGATAATTGCACTAATATATATTGCAATTATCGTGTAGCCCCATTTATTTATTTTAATGTTACATTCAATATAATTAATAATTAAGGCTTGCTCACACCGGGACGAATATCGCGCGCGATAATCGCCGACGTTTAACGCCTCGTGACTAAACAAAGGGCGCCAATGTGAGTGTGCACACCGACGCGCAAAACGCGAAGCGTAAAAGCGTAATTTTTAAAAAACGCCTCGGGCTTGTTTTTTTGGTTTGACGCGCCGCGTTAAAAACTGGCCGACCAATGAGATTGGCGCTTTTGTTCACGTGCCTGGAGCTGCTGAAGTTACAGTAAAACACGACTAGGTGGCGCTCAAGCACAAAACGGTCTTGCCGAGCACACACTGATGTCTAACGACGAAGAGGAAGTAAATAGACCAAGAAGATGCATCGAGGCAAGATGAATGTAGAGCTGCTGGTCTCATTGGTGTCTGAACACAAAGGGCTTTATGACAAACGCGACAGCGACTACAAAAATCTCGATAAAAGGAAGTTGATATGGAGAGGAATTGCAGATCAAATAAGATTCAATGTGTACCGGGGTATTTCTGTTTTTCATTAAGTGCCATCTAATGTCAGGGAGTGAATTTGCACGTTCACTCGGCTCATCGCCAGCGAAAATCGCTTGGGTATGAACACAAAAGACGCGTCGAAAAACGTCAGCGATAAGCGCGCGCGATAATCGTCCTGGTGTGTACGAGGCTTTAGCTTTTCAACTCATTTGGGAAAACCTGCCTTAAAGGACCAGTTCACCATTATGATGGTCCACATGTTCCTTTTACTGATCTTTTCATTTAAAATCTCTGTATTTTCCTTTCTTAACATCTTTCAGACTGTATTCCTGTTTTACTTCATCATTTTCCCTTCTCTTGTTTTTTCTCTACCTCAGTGTTACTTTTTTTCTGGCCCCGAATCAGCTGTTCCGGATATCTGCTTAATCTCAAACTAAACGACTTGTTCTTTCTCTTTCTGACCAGAAAACACGTTTAGACTAATGCTTGCGATAGCGTAGCTCACGTCTACATAAACAGAGATAGATTCGCTCCTGAACAAACACGTGCAGGAGGACACACATGCTCAAAACAAACACTTCACAAAACAAACAAACTCTTCAACTCACAAATCAGCTTTAATATGTAGGACACTGGGTCGCACAGACGGCCTTCACTCCGCTCAATCAGCCATTATGAGTCATACAAACTACAAATGACTGGCAGTACATGACATTCTACAGTAATGAACACAGCAGTCAAAGAACTGGCAAGCTACACAATTACTCAGTTCTTCAGCAGGCGCTTTAATCCAAAGTGACTTACTGTTCATTTACTGCCGCGCCAGTCAGCATAAAAGTTTACAGAATACACAAGCATCACATTTCTAAGAACATTTCTTGGTGCATGTCTTTAAACTTGATTTTAACCCTCTAAAGTCTGACATATGAAATAATAGTCTGAATGAAATTAAAGGATTTATTGAACTTTTTGAACAAATCATTTTTGACACATCAGGCTCAAACTGAGCAAAAATATGCAATTTGATGCAGATACTGGCTGATAAAATGGCTGATAGCTTATAATGTAAATCAATTGAGACTTAAATAAAATGATATAAATATCAGTCGTCGCTCTATATCTCCAATAATGTGTCTTAGTAAGATTGAAATGATCCAAACATATAATGCAATGCAATCCAGTGATGATTGAGAGATGAAGAAATAAACGCTCCTCAAAAGATCCTGAGGATCAGATTTGAGACTCTAAAACATGATTGATGGAGAATCAAGTAAAGCTGAGCTGCTTCAGTCCAGTAATATTTCATCTGGAAATATTACTGCAGTTATTCTGACGTTTACTTGATAAAAATCAGTAAAGATATGACAGCAGAAAGACACGTGAAGCTCCAGCTAAAGCTGGACGTTTTGTACGATTACAATTTACTAAAAAACTATCATTCAGACGACAGAAGGCATGGAGTAGATTGTGTGTGAAACAGGTTTAACAGCAAAGTTTGATCATGTTGATAATTTAGAGGCCTTAGAAACATGTACCTGCATCTCTCTGTCTCCATATTTGTTGGGATGGCGACTAGCTTGGCTCTTCCTCCGCAGCTTCTTCAGCTGTGATTGGCAGCGCTCAATGGACTCCACCTTTGACTTCCTCTCACTCTGGTACTTCTTCAGCGTCGCCTGGACAAAGGTTTTCATACAGTATATCAAGTTCTGGTAAGTTTCAGAGAGTTCAGGAGGAGTAATTTACTGATTAATTTACTCAAAGGGTTTACAAGACAAACTCTGGGTTTACTTGTTTGAGCTCCCCTGTTAAGTGAATTCAGTAGGTAGTTTAGTTAAACAGTAGTGTGCACTCACAGTCAGATATTTGATGTCTAGCTCCAGTTTCTGCTCGAGTTGAGACAGCAGCTCTGAATGAAACAGCTTCAGCTGCAGACGACAGAAAACACAGCATTCAATCAAACACGGGGGGTGTGGAAACACACGGGTCTTGAGGGTAAATTAGTTTTTACAATCTCTAGGACCCATTTCTTAATAATTAGGTCACTTTTTCAAAACTCTTCATACACTAAAGCACAAGAGCATCTATGTGGGCAAAACTGTGGATCATTTATCAATGCTTTGGCACAAAATACACTCAATTAAAACATCTTTCAAATGAAATGAATTCTTGTCTCACTCAGACACACACACACACACACCAAAACTCAACTAGCCACTATGCACATTTACATACTTTTCAAAACTATTAAACTTAAGTTCAAAACCTAATATAATACAAAACTGAATAAGACAGTGAATTGATACAATTCTACAGTAATACAACGTTGAAATTTATTCTAAATCTAAAAACTGAAATACTATCAAAACAGCTAGATGTAGCTAAACATCTGCACAGGCGTTAGTCTTTCAACTTCATTACCATCTATACAAAAGGGAAAACATAGGAATAATTTTGTACTGTAATGTAAACATGGACCAAGTAACATTTACAGCAGTGACATTTTACAGAAGAAAACATTGTGTAATGCTACCTGTTGTTAGCGTTTTTTTTAGGTCGGTGTTTTATGAGCGACAGTGTGTTTTTTGGGTGAAATCCTTTACTAGTGTTATGGAAGAATGATTTTAAACATGTATGGAGTGTTATGGCAGTTTTAGTGCATCTTGGATGTGGAATTTACTGCTATACCAAGCTGAAAGTTGGTTAGGAGAGCTGTGTGAAGAGTTTTGAAAAAGTGACATAAGTATTGATAAATGTGCCCTAGAGATAGGAAAAAAAACAACAACTGAAGGTTCAGTTTATGCCTTAAATTAAGTATAATCAAACTGGCTGTACAAGTCATTTCAACTCTCAAATATAAAATCTTGTGTAGTTGAATCTTGTATAACAAAACTTAAAAATAATTCAGACAGGTCAAATTATTTTGATGAGTTAAAGTAATGGACAAGCATATGTTTATTGATCATATAATTTTTTACAGTGTACCCATTGTTTTATTGTTTTAAAATGTGTTTGTTGGTTGACAACCTTTGCTATTAAATGAGTTGATCTGAGACACATATGAAGTGTTTTGGTAGTTTTACCGCATTTGAAATGCAAAATGGACTACTCTGCCAAGCTGTTAGAGGGCCCCCTCTTGATGGAGGCCAATGCAAGCAGGAGCAAAGTTTTCACTGACAGAAACTTTAGCTCGACTGTCTGCAAAGGCTCAAATGGGCCCTGCTGTAGTGCTCTGAGCACTAGAGTCAGGTCCCAAGAGGGTATAGAGGGGGGCCGTGGAGGATTTAGCCTTCTCGCCCCCCTAAGGAACCTGATGATCAGGTCATGCTTCTCTAGCGACTTCCCATCTACGGGGTCGTGGTTAGCAGCAATCGCAGCGACATAGACTTTAAGGGTGGAGGGAGACAGCCTTCGCTCCAACCCTTGCTGCAAGAAGAAAAGCACGACTCTGACTGGGCATCTTCGGAGGTCTTCTCGGTGCCGGGTAGGATTCAACCTCCTGGCCGCTCTAAGGAACCTGATGATGAGGTCATGCTTACCTACGGACTTCCCATTCACCGGGTCATGGTACGCAGCAATAGCAGCAACCTGGACTTTGAGGGTGGAGGGATACAGCCTTCGCTCCAGCCCTTGCTGCAGAAAGGAAAGCACGATCGCAATCGGGCATCTCTGGGGGTCTTCTCGGCGAGAAGAGCACCACTCGATGAACAGGTTCCACTTCAAGGCGTAAGCGTGTCTCATAGACGGTGCTCTGGCCGAAGTGATGGTGTCAACTACCCCTTGGGGTAGGTCACCTAGAACCTCCGTGTGCCGTCCAGGGACCAGACTTGAAGTTTCCAGAGGTCTGGACACGGGTGCCACAGGGTGCCCCGTCTCTCTCGATGAACAGGTTCCACTTCAAGGCGTAAGCGTGTCTCGTAGACGGTGCTCTGGCCGAAGTGATGGTGTCAACTACCCCTTGGGGTAGGTCACCTAGAACGTCCGTGTCCCGTCCAGGGACCAGACTTGAAGTTTCCAGAGGTCTGGACACGGGTGCCACAGGGTGCCCCGTCTCTGAGTCAGTAGATCCTTCCTCAGAGGAATCGGCCAAGGAGGGGCTGTCACGAGGAGTATCAGTTCCGGGAACTAGGTCCGGGTGGGCCAATAGGGCGCCACTAAAAGACCTGTGCACTGCCAGCAACTCGAGGCAATTGATGTGCCAGTGCAGTTGGGGGCCCGTCCAAACCCCTGACACTACAAGCCCGTGGAACGTGGCCCCCCAGCCGGTCGTGTGAACCACAGCATGCCTGGAGACCTGTTCTAGGGGCACTCCTGCCCGGAGAAACGCCAGGTCTGACCACGGGGTGAAGGTTTGGCGGCAGGCCGATATGACTTGGACCCGGTGAGTGCCGCGTTGTCACGCCCACCTCGGGACTCGGCCTTGGAGCCAGTGCTGAAGCGGTCTCATATGGAGCAGCCCCAGCGGCGTGACTGCCGCCGTAGCTGCCATGAGACGGATCAAGGCAAGGTGCACTGCCAGCAACTCGAGGCAGTTGATGTGCCATTGCAGTTGGGGCCCCGTCCAAACCCCTGACACTGCAAGCCCGTTGTACGTGGCCCCCCAGCCGGTGGTTGAGGCATCCGTGTGAACCACAGCATGCCTGGAGACCTGTTCTAGGGGCACTCCTGCCCGGAGAAACGCCAGGTCTGACCACGGGGTGAAGTTTTGGCGGCAGGCCGGTGTGACTTGGACCTGGTGAGTGCCGCGTTGCCACGCCCACCTCGGGACTCAGCCATGGAGCTAGTGCTGAAGCGGTCTCATATGTAGCAGGCCCAGCGGCAGGACCTTGTACTGATATGCCCGTCCTTCTAATGCAAACTGCAGGAATGGCCTGAGGCGCGGAAAGATCAACACATGGAAGTACGCGTCCTTCGGGTCGATCGCTGCCAACCGATCTTGGGGACGGGTGCACCTGAAGATGCGCTTCTGCATGAGCATCTTGAACGGGAGCTTGTGAAGGGCCCGGTTCAAGATGCGCAGATCCAAAGACCGGCTCTATCGCATCCTTCGCCAGTAGGACTGTGATCTCTGCACGCAAGACAGGGGCATCTGCTGCCTTCACCGAAGTAACGTGGACGCCCCTGAACGTGGGAGGGCGCAGGGCGAACTGAATCGCATAGCCGAGTCTGATGGTCTGACGGAGCCAACGAGACGGGCTGGGAAGCGCTAGCCATGCTCCCAGAAACCGTACAAGTGGCACTAACAGAACCACCGACGTACCCGCGGTGGGGCAGCGAGGGGGAACGCAGGGACCCGGCCCGGGCATCTCGTTGCCAGTCCGAAGCGGGGTCAGCGTGTGTGAAACACTCACCTGCGTTCGGGCAGAGGGTGCGTGAGTAGTACGTTTGACCGCACTCTCGAACCTTCGGGCAGAGGGTGTGTGAGTAGTACGTTTGACCGCACTCTCGAACCGCCCACAGCTGCTCACTGGCGAGAGAGGAGGGTGAGTGTGATCCGAGACTGGCCCGTCCACAGCTCCCTGTCCCCTCTGGGGACCCAGAGATAGAGGAAATTGCTCTTTTGTTGAGTTTTTGGGAACCACTGTGTTGTTGAAGTCAGTGGCGGGGAAAAAAGAAACAAAAGATTCTCTGCCCGGCCCTCCTCCGGGGGAGGGAGTGGTGCGTGCACCCTCTCCCGAAGAGCAGCTCCCTCCATCTCTGGGTCGCCCGTCTCAGGGCCTCTTGCTCTTCTGCTTGCCACCAGGTTTGGCGGGGGCATGGACGGGCGGGGTGGCTGCCCTACGACCGGCTCCATGGTGCTGCTTTGCTGGAGGCTGCTGCATTTGCTTCGCCAGGTTTGGCGGGGGCCTGGACGGGCGGGGCAGCTGCCCTGCGACAGGCTCCACGGCGCTGCTTTGCTGGAGGCTGCTGCGTAAGCTGCGCGGGAGCGGGGGTGGTGGCAGGGGGCCGCCCTCGGCGACGAGCAAGCTGAGGCACTGCCGCCGGCGGCCGGGTGGAGGCAGCAGCTGCACGCCGGGGCAGGATGTGCCTGATGGCCTCAGTCTGCTTCTGGGCAACGGAGAACTGCTGGGCGAAGTTCTCTACTGCGTCACCGAACAGGCTGGTCTGGGACACGGGTGCGTTCAAGAATCGTGTCTTGTCCCGCATGTTGGCCAGACACAGCCAGAGATGGCGCTCCTGGACCACCATAGTGGACATTGCACGGCCCAGAGACCGCGCAGTGACCTTCGTCGCTCGTAGCGCGAGGTCAGTAGCGGTACGGAGTTCTTTGAGAACTTCTGGGTCGTGACCACCCTCGTGCAGGTCCTTCAGTGCCTTGGCCTGATGAACCTGCAACAACGCCATGGTGGGTAGGGCAGAGGCAGCTTCTCCGCAGGCCGCATAAGCACTGCCGGTCAGGGCCGACGAGTACCTACAGGCCCGGGAGGGCAGCGACGGCTTGCCCCGCCAGGTGGCAGCGGTATTTGGACACAATTGCATCGCAACCAACCGCTCCACCGGTGGGGACCTCCGTATACCCCCGCGCTGCCCCGCCATCAAGGGTGGTGAGGGAGGACGAACCACTGGGGCGGTTTCTGGCAGTGAAAGGTGCCGTCCACGACCCAGTGAGCTCATCATGCACCTCCGGGAAGAAAGGTCCTGAGAACCTGAGAAAGAGTGGGGCCCTGAGAACTAGTGCGAGTCACTCCAAGAAACCAATCGTCCAGCCTCGAGGGTTCGGGACGCGGTGGAGGTTTCCACTCGAGCCCGACGCTCTCGGCGGCCCGGGAAAGCATAGCCATCATTTCCGGATCCGAATCCGGCACCGGCCTCCGGATCATCCTCTCCAGAAAAGTCTGGCTCACCCTCCGATGTAGCAATCGACATCTGATCGTCGGGGGGAGCGCCGAAAGATACAAGTGGTACCCCCCGGGAGGGTCCAGCCTGTTCTCTCGGCGGCTCCACTGGCTGCGAAGTGCCGGCGAAAGGAGGAGCCCTCGGAGGTTGGTTCCTTGGAGGGGAATTCCTCACCGTCACCATAAGACCAGTACGGCTGCCGCCAGGGGGAACCCTAGATCTGGGCAGCGGCACAGGCAGGAAACGAAGTCTGGTCCGCAACTCCGAGACGGTCATTTTCCCGTAATGGGAGCATGACTCGTACACAAAGCCACCTCAGCGTGCTTAATGTCCAGACACGAGAGGCAGCGATCGTGACCATCACACGGCGCCAGGTAACGACCGCATCCAGAAACGAATTTAAAAGAATTTAAAAAGACGTTCCACCCGTGAATGCTCTTTTAGAACTGCTCTTTTAGTGTGCTGAAGCGCACAGGGGAGATGGCCGCCTGCAACACAAACAGGGGGTAGTGCAGCCTGTTGTGTGCAACCCACTCGACACGGGAAGAACCATCACCGCTGAAGCGCCGTACCACCAGCACGAGAGCTTCCTAAGAGCGTGCTTGTACTCGAACTTGTAGTTTCACTGAAGCAGAAGATCAGGAGCAGAACGATGAGACCGCTCGGCTCCGAAGCGAAAAGCTGAATATGCGCTGCATCTGCTGCCTACTTATACTCACGCTGTGATCAGCAGCAGCTGGATGCAATAATTGCATGCCAATGTGCATTGGCTCGTTTAGTTTACACTCGAAGTGGATTGGTCGCTCTAAGCGAGATCCCAATTCGTCGGTCATCCAACGTAACGTCGAGAGTGACTGACTGAAAGGGAACCACGGCTTCACGGGGCTTATTGCTTTATTTACTCACCACATCCTCTAGTTGGACCTGGATCTGCCGATGAACCTCTGCCATCTGGAACAGCGTGTCACCTGAATCAATATGAATTATGAGAAGATGTCAAAAGACATTGCACACAATCAGAAAAACTCAAAGCATGAGAGCCATCACAATTTACAGACGTACTATCAAACACGACCCGATAATGCCATCTCACTCATATAAACCTGACTACATCAAGCTCACACTAGGGTCATTTTAAAGTTCGATCTATAATGTAACAACTGCATGTTCATTTTCTAAAATGCATGAACTTGTCTAAACTGTAGTCTGTGGTGTATGTGCAATTATTTGTCTGAACACAATTGAAAAGAGCGATTTCTTCCTTCAGATGATGTGATATGCGTGGCATTGTCTGTCCATTCTTGCGTTTCATTGAGGGTGAATTTGTGGTGTTTTGTTGTGGGTTCCAGTGGGCCGAGCCGTGGATGTTGGCCTTCTTTATCCCCTACTGAGCAACAGTGTGTGTGCGGCTTGGCATCTCTCCCTTCCTCTCGTCCACCCCCGCTGTTTTCAGCAGCACAATGAGATCATGTGGTGTTGTTAATCTTTCAACAAAGGCCTCTCTCTCTTTTGCCCCTCTCTCGCTTTCTCTTACTTTCTTCATCTCCATTTTATCGTACAGGCTTTGCCTCTTCATTCTCTTCTGCTGTAGTCACTTGGTTTCACGCTTTCATTTCCTGCAAACGCTGATGTACTATGAACTTGAACAATGTAGTTATATTTACAAACATTTTCACATTCAGTTCTCACCACTAACTTTACTCTGCCGGACGTGTCGCTTCAGAAACAGATTTGAATAGCCCTAATTAACTAAAACTAAAATTATACACACAACAATATTACTAAAATTAAAATGAGAATGGGAAATCTAAAAATAAAAATGTTCAATGGTACTAAAATAACACTGGGTCTAAATTATGGGAACACTCTCTCTCTCTCTCTCTATATATATATATACTGTATATATATACAGTATATATATATTTTTTTTTAAGTCAACATTAAGGCACTTATTGATGATGTAGTGTAGTTTGCAGAAAAACACACTTTGTAATTATAAAATTAGATTTGGATCACATAATAATATTAGAACATAATTAGCATGTTGCAACATTGGCGCTTTTATCAGAACAACAGTTCTGTCTAATAGCACCTTGTTTCTGTCCTAAACACATCCTCCAATCATCACAACCTTCAAATAAATCCCTCATAACCGTCACTTTTAGTGCATTAACTGCTCTCCCTGTTACTTATCTCTCTCAGAAACACATAAAAAAAGAGTTTAGTTCTAACATAAACTCTCTTGTTTTATGCCAGTTCATTTGAAATAATTAAGTGGAATTACATGATAACATCAGTACTTTAACTGCAAATGTGCTGTAAGTATACTGTACTTGCAATGACTTCACTTTGGCGCAGTAACTAGGTTGTGAACCTGACTACACAATCAGTTTGAGAGATTATTTAACTTTGAGGACATTTATTTACTCAGATCTTTCTGGTTTATTCACTGTGTTTGGTTCTGAAGTGTCTTACCTAGTTCCTTTGAGCCCTGGCTGTCACTGGCCAGCTCTCCTAGTTTGACCAGAGTGTCAAAATAACCCTTCGCTGCTACTGTGACGCCTGTAGAGACAGAGAAAGACAGAGAGAGACAGAGAGAGAGAGAGAGAGACATAGAGAGAGAGTGCATACATGATTGTTGTTTGGCAGGCAAAGTGCTGATGAACATACATCAAAGTTCACACTGATTATCGGTGGACTTTTGCCCATTACAGAGAAAATTAACTATTAAATAATGATGTCTGACCCGTCAGAGCCTTTTCATAGTGTTTGCCCATGGTGACAAAATTCTTCAGACTGGGGTTGAACTGGTCCAGAATGCCCTGAACACAGAATCAGCAACACATTCAATACATGAGGTGGAATAATGGAAAATGCTCTGTGTCAGTGATGCTCTTTTTTTTATTCTTATTCAAAATACTGTTAAAAATACAATTCATAATGACTGAAATATACCTTTAAAATTCATTTGTATATTCAGTATATATATATGTTTTGCCGTAATTTTTTATTTTTCCTAAAAAAAAATTTTTTTTTTATACTTATAACAAATATATATAATTATCGCTCTCACTCACTACATATAGACACACATATGTGACCCTGGAGCACAAACTAGTCTTAAGTCGCTGGGGTATATTTGTAGCAATAGCCAACAATACATTGTATGGGTCAAAATTATAGATTTTTCTTTTATGCCAAAAATCATTAGGATATTAAGTAAAGATCATGTTCCATGAAGATATTTTGTAAATATATTAAAACTTAATTTTTGATTAGTACTATGCATTGCTAAGAACTTAATTTGGACAGCTTTAAAGGAGATTTTCTCAATATTTTGATTTTTTTGCTCCCTCAGATTCCAGATTTTCAAATAGTTGTATCTCAGCCAAATATAGTCCTATCCTAACAAACCATACATCAATGGAAAGCTTATTTATTCAACTTTCAGATGATGTATAACTCTCAATTTAAAAAAATTGACACTTAAGACTGGTTTTGTGCTCCAGGGTCACATATAGTAATTAAAAAAGAAAACGTTTTTTTCTTTGCTTGACAAAATGTTTTGTTACGTGGTTTTTGTTTGTCAATTATTTGTTGTTGGTATATGCATGTTTTTTTTTTTTTTACACAAAATGTGAGAATAAAAACAAACATGAAGAAAAGATTACATTTCTAAGATGTCTCCTTTCATCATCCTGGATTGTCTGTTTATTGTTCCCTTTCACTGAACACATACCTTGTAGACATTCTCTGTCATTTTGTTGACCTCATCTGACCGTGACATTGTGCTTCTCTCTCCAGATCAGTTCACCTCACTTCTAGACGTCACGAAGTCACAGCACACGCGGATACACGGAGAGAAAGAGAGCAAGAACGTGAGACATAGAGGATGAATCCGGCTCATTCAGTGACTGCATTAGCTAGAGACCTTCTGCCTTAAAGAAGAGTGTTAGTAACCAACAACACTCTTCACGGCAGCCATTGACTTCCATGGTATTTTTTTTTCTCCATACTATGGAAGTCAGTGGCTACTGTCAAACATTTGGTTTCCAACATTCTTCAAAATATCTTCTTTTGTGCTCAACAGAAGAAAGAAACTCCTACAGGTTCATAACAACTTGATGGTGAGTAAATGATCACAGAATTGTAATTTTTGGGTGAACTAACCCTTTATGAAATTGTAACTAGAATGTTTAGATGTTTCGATCACATCAGTTTACCTGCTCTTATTCTAAAACACTGAAACTAACGGAAGTTGTGACAACATCCCCACTGGTCTGAGGAATGCTTTCCTCTAGATGTTATAACATTGCTGAAGGGATTTGCTTCTATTCAAGCATTAGAGAGGTCAGGCACTGTGTGATTGAGGCCAGACTCGCAGCCGTCGGCACAGTTTATCTCAAAAGTCTGGACTCATCAAGATCCTGCACATGCCACTTCTGTGTGTCTTGACAAACCATTTTTGTATGGATGTTCATAAGGATATTGTCATTCAAAAACAGGAAACCGGTGTCACAATGCCACAAAATAATGGTCTAAAATGTCACTGCATGCTATAGTGTCAGTATTTTCCTTCGGCCCGAACCATGGAAAACCCATGACAGCTCCAGATATTTAAACCAAACGCGATCAACAGAAAGTGATCTTTCCTGGAATTAGGAACGAATTCATTTTTTTTTCTGCAGGAATTTGACTTGTTTTGTTGGACATGTGAAATCCTATATAATTTTAAACAAAAATTAGGCATGCAGCATTGCTTTTATCAAGTCAACTTGAATTTATTTGTACAGTGCTTTTCACAACACACAGTGTTTTAAAACAGATTTACTGAAAATCACTATGTTAAAGGGTTAGTTCACCCAAAAATGAAAATCAGGCTGATTCGTCTGAAAGAAGAAAGGCATATACACCTAGGATGCTTCGGGGGTGAGTAAAACGCAGCCTAATTTTCATTTTTGGGTGAACTAACCCTTTAATGTTTAAAATATCTTAATTTCTGCTTTCGTTGTAGTTGGATTCATCAGATTAGAGCTGGACAATAATATAGTTTACATTTTGTGATGATACAAGCAATAAAGCAGTTGAGATTTGCTATATATGTTGCTTTACGTGTGTGTTTAAAATTGGACATAATTATATATCCAACTTTATATAAAGAGCTGGGCAATGATGTAGTAACGTTTTGCAATGAAATGTATGCAGTAGTATATAATTAATACATTTGACATGAGTGGTAAAGGATGTACTATATATCTGACTTTTATTATATCACTTCACTTCAAGCATTCATGGCACACATTAAAACATTATTTATTAATCTAATTCATTCTGCTAGCATATCTAATATCTGATATAATTGAACATGCCACAAAAATGTCTTGCAATCAATATGTAGTCAGGTTGATTCAATCATAAAATTTCTACTCGAATAATACCAATTTAGTTATTTGACAAAACGTTTCACATACACTTTATGAATTTCAAAATAAGGACCAGCCTTGTTAGTGACCCTCGAGAGATTTCATAGTCTGAGTCTGGCCAAAGCCATCCTAATACACTGTTATTGAATGTCTTAAGTTCATGAAATTGATTCTGACATGTCACAGTGCCCTGGAGGAGAGCAGTTCTTCCCAAGCGCAAGCGCAAGAGTCAAGCCGCTGAACAAACACTGCGCTCACACAGTTTCCCTTCTGGAAAGATCGTGAATCAGAGATTCCAGTCAGGATTACCCATCACATAAAGCTTCAGCTCTGAAGGCCAGTGTTTACAGCAGGTCAGCGCTCTCATGTGTGTTATTAGAGGAAGATTAGGAGGAAGAATTTGACCTAAATGAAGAGAATGAGTGAGACCCCCCGAAAAATAACATTCTCATCACACGACACTTCATTTCACGTCTTCTCTTCCCTTGATTCACACTGAGAGCAGATGACTGACTAATAGTTCACCAACTATTGTGATTCACCCTCAATTCATGACATGTAAGTATGCTTAGTGTCATTAAAGACTCTACGAAAAGGGGCGGAGCTACATAAGGACTAATGTTTTTGAGCTAAAGTTTTGAGAACATTATTAAAGACCAGATGACTTTAAACAAATGTTCAATTAATGTTACTGTGAGAACATTTGTTCATATCTTGGGGAGAACCTTGCCAAAACATTAGACAAGGTTCTGAGAACGTTGTCTGTTAGCTAGAATAGAAGTGCCCTTTCCATTGATGTATGGTTTGTTAGGATCGGACAATATTTGGCTGAGATACAACTATTAGAAAATCTGGAGTCTGAGGGTGCAAAAAAATCTAAATATTGAGAAAATCACCTTAAAAGTTGTCCAAATGAAGTTCTTAGCAATGCATATTACTAATCAAAAATTAAGTTTTGATATATTTACAGTAGGAAATTTACAAAATATCTTCATGGAACATGATCTTTACTTAATATCCTAATGATTTTTGGCATAAAAGAAAAATTGATAATTTTGACCCATACAATGTATTTTTGGCTACTGCTACAAATATACCCCAGCGACTTAAGACTGCTTTTGTGCTCCAGGGTCACATTTATCCCTAAATTCCGCATATTAGTAGTACCTTAGAGTAGTAATATGTACTACCATGCACCTGTCAGGGGTAAATAATGCACAAAGTTGTCCCTTTAAGGGTTCTGCCCCACTGACAAGGGCACATCCCTGTTTGCAAATAGTCAGCCTTTAATTCACATCACAGCCATTAACCATGATTTGATATTTCTAATAGAAACAAGTGGTATTGGGGAGCGGGACATTCCTATTCTAGAGTGCAACTGATTGGACAAAAATGTGTCAGCAGCTCTGAGTGCAACACGAGTCATCTGAATATATGTCTATTTCATGGAAGAGAAGACTGTACATTTTAAGTGAGTGCATCTGCTAAAAGTTACATGTCTGCAGCTTTTCAGAGTCCAATTAAAAGTAGATGACCTCAAAGCAAAACCACATGATAAGATTTAGGAATATTAATCTTTAGGACTAACTCCACACAGACACAGAATGTAGTCCTACTTACTGCATGAAAGGTTATAGATATAATTGTGTCACTGCATATTTTGTTGCCACGTTCCATAATCAAATAAATAAATATTTCTATAAACTGTGACTGTATACAAATTTGTGCCTCTAATTTTTTTCCCAGCTGACACCTGTTCCCTGTTAGAGCTGGTGATTAAAGTGATGCTATTGCAATGATACAGAGATGAAATATGAAGTAAAGGTGGCGATATGATTCTGCTGATGTAACAGTGAAAGGCTGGAAAACACGTGATAAGATGATATGAATATGACATTTCAATAGATGTTCTCTTAATTTTAGCTGCTTCATAATGCAATAATTCACAATCAGCAAAACAAAGTTTAGTAAGCAATGCAACTTTATCAGCCGGTGGATTTACAATGCCAATCACGTCCATCATAGTAACCGCATTTTCATATTTCTTTCAAATGGCACTTGTTGCACTCGTTGTAGCAGATTGTTAGTTTGATTGTATTATGAAGTAAATGAACTCCAGTGGTTTGTGTTATGTGGAGGTTTTCTCATACCTTTTCAGTGTTCATGGTTTCCTCAACGCTTTGTCTGTGTTTTTTCTTCTTTTCCTTCAGACCTTCCCTTCTTCAGTGGTGGGGGTAGTCGGTTTGTTTGACCCAGTAAATCGCTCGTCCACCCCTCACCCCTCGCCCTGTGTCTCCCAAAGCCCTGACTGAATCCAGGTCAGAACACACTCACTGCTCGCTGCTCCTCAAACTCCTCAAACTTTACTCTTCATTCCGCTCCAAATGTCCATTTGCCGTCGCGATGTAGAGCTCGAGCGGCTCGGTCTCTGTCTCTGTCCCGGACAATGTCTCCTTACTCTCTGTCTGATAAATACCAGGTACACACACACACACACACACACACACACACACACACACACACACACACACACACACCAACACTTCACTTTTAATTCCATGAATACAATCTCAGAAGTGGCATGTGCAAACAAATGTTGCTAGACCCTTTTCTCACGTTCCTTTTGCCTGGACAGTATTTTTGTTGGTTTTGACATTGATTATAACCAAAAAAAAAAAAAAAAAAGGTTCTTCTGTGTCATCACTGTGAATTGGAACCTTTATTTTTAAGAGGGAAAAATACACACAAAAAATATTGTAAAGAAGCTTCATTTTGCATTTACAGTTTTTTCTCAATCGATCTGACATTTTTCTCCAAAGTAATGTAATTGCTTTCAAAACAATGTACACAGCCATCTAAACACGTGCTTATCTTAACCAAACTGTTCAACTTTACTGCAAAATGAAACACTGCATTTTTTTTCTTGTAAAGCATTTATTTAAAGTAAATATTAACATCAAGTGTTTTCTATTGATTATAAAACATATCCAGCTATAGATGCACAAATATACTAATGAAAATACATGTTTGTTGTAAAGTTCTTCAACAGGGATATATAGTGCTATGCTTTACTATGATTTGTTCTGTTGTTGTGTAAATCTAAACGAAATACAACATAAAACAAAGGCAACCCGACCCATCAGCCATGTGAAAAACGAATTGCACTTTAAATTTAAAATCTGGTTGTGCCTCCTTTAGCAGCAAGAACTTCTATTGTATACTTGTACTGTTTTATCAATAAATATTTTTCTCTTAAGGACTAGAATCAAAATGTATCTCTAAATCCTTGTTTCAAGCCCTACAAGAATTGTACATTCAATTTTGTTTACCAATTTTTCAGCGTTTTGGATTTTTGGAAAAAGCTTTTTTTCCCCCCTCTTGGTCCGATTCACATGACACTTGGCATGCATCATCCCAAAACACTCATGATTGAAAGTTTTCTAAATAATTTTGGTTTATCAAAGTTATAAGCCAATTAAATGGCCTGACATTGCCCATTCTGACTATTGGACCTATTTATTGTGTAAATTGTGCTTTACCTACTATAGGTCATGGACTTCATAGGGGACATACGTCAAAAACATGTTACAAATTATTCAGCAGCTGTTGTGAACAACTAATTTTTGTGGAATTGACTATGTTCTCTATGCACAAGATACATGAGGCTGTACTACATTTAGTGAGAATCTTTGTACAAAACGGCTTATGCCACTTTAAGAACCCTACTTTTCAAACTCATCCTCTGGTTTGCAGGACATTTGATTTGCACCATTTTGACTTGAGTTGAATTTAATTGTTTAGCTGATATGGGCTGATGTATTTTGGGGTTTGGCTCATTATGACTAATTGGCCTATTTCTTGAAAACACAATATACAAACCTCACAAAACTTGGTATACATGAAATTTTTTTTAAAAACACAAAATGTCAATGAATTTCTGATGCTGGGGGTTTCTGCAGTTTCTAAATGATAAGTCATTTATGTCAATGTGAGTGACAGAAAAAAGGCTGTAATACTTGTCCACTAGAGGGTGACTAACCACAGGATAACAAATATATATATATATAAATGTTATTGAATTGAATACATATTTGTCTGAAAATAACAACATTAACTGAATATACTGCTTACTAATTAAAATGAGTAGACAATATAATTTTATCTTAGTGCTTTGACAATGATGATCGCTGTGTGCGGTTATATTTTTATTTATTTATTTATTTGCTTGTACTTTTTATTGAGCTGTTATCATTATAAGTAGTATTTAAAATGAGTATTGAAAGTATTTTAAAGTAACTGAGTAATTTAAAAGTATTTTAAAATAAGAAAAATTGAGTCTTGATGTTCAGAGTGAGCTCTGCTGCCTTCTTGCGTTTGGATCCAAAACTTCAGCCTTAATATTTTTTTGTGTGATTAGCCTGAAAAGTAGTAAGCTGACATAACAGAAACGTCAATGTTTTATATGCTGTGATGCAAAAAAAAAGAAAGAAAGAAAAAATTGTTAAAGTAATCAGATGACATGCGTTTATGATCAAAGCACTCTGACAATAGAAATAAACTTCAAGTGCTGGAGAAATGTTTTCTTTCTTTCTTTTTTAAATATATTTATTATCTTTTAATAAACCCCACATACGCACGACCGGAAGCAGAAGAAGCGCTCGACTGTGGCATAATAAAAGCTCCGCTGCTTTACCCCACACACGCACGACCGGAAGCAGCGGAAGCGCTCGACTGTGGCATAATAAAAGCTCCGCTGCTTTACCCCACACACGCACGACCGGAAGCAGCGGAAGCGCTCGACTGTGGCATAATAAAAGCTCCGCTGCTTTACCCCACACACGCACGACCGGAAGCAGCGGAAGCGCTCGACTGTGGCATAATAAAAGCTCCGCTGCTTTACCCCACACACGCACGACCGTAAGCAGCGGAATTAACATGATTTCTGCCCGAGTCCCGTCGGATTGCATCGGCTGTGGGGATGAAGACTACAACTCCCATGATTCCACACTCAGTCACAGCGTCATCAAACTACGCCTTTGTCTCTTTGTTTGTTTTGAATACGCGCCCTCTAGTGGCGAAAATTACATATTGTGCCTTTAATTAACATTGAGCACAGTGTCATCATGGACACATTGAGCTGCAGTATATCTATGCACATTTATTAGAAGTATTTGGATTCTGATTGCAGCTATAGGACATACATGGTTTCTGAAATATATCTAAAAATTCACAAATACACCAAAAATGATTAACTTTTGTTGAAATATCATAAAAGCATTATTTCTAAATAATCACTCTAATCATCTCTGTTCCGTGTTGTGACTCTCTACATCTACATGGAAACAACAGTAAATTAGCACGGTAAGTTCAGGAGCCTGAATTTTTATTACAATAAAATCAACATGTGTTTCATTTGAATACATCGTAAAATCCCTGCATTTCTGATACTGGTCTTTCATGTTTGTTCTTTTCCATGCTTGACTCTCTTCATCTACATGCCACTGTTTGAGCGCACCGATGAAATCAATGGAACCAATGAAAAAATGTGAAAGAAAAGTCATGTGGTAGTCATATAAAAGGTAAATGCTGCTGTTTACTTCAACACAAGCTGTAAACTCAATATCTAAAAATTCACAAATACACCAAAAATGATTAACTTTTGTTGAAATAGCATATAAGCATTATTTCCAAATACACTGGTTGTCTCTGTTCAATGTTGTGACTCTCTGCATCTACATGGAGACAAAGGTAAATTAACACAGTAAGTAACCCAAATGTTTATTACAATAAAATTAAAAATGTGTTTAATTTGAATACATCAGAAAATCCCTGCATTTCTGATACTGGACGTTTATAATTTTTGTTCTTCATCTACATGCCACTGTTTGAGCGCACCAATGGAACCAATGGAAAATGTGGTAAGAAGAGTTAAATTAACATGGTAACCCAACTCTTTATCCCAAAACTTAAATAGCATGCGCTATTCAACAATACTGACTTCAGTCTTGTCTATACAACACAAATATTATGCCATTTAGTGGTACAGCTTTGCAAGTACACCTTTTAAATGTAATTTATTCATTTACGTATTCAATAATTTGTTCATTTTATGACATAATATAGATTTTAAAATCACTCGTCGGGAATGTGGCCCTCATGAGTTTCACAGTCTCAGTGTGTTTTTTCCACCGGTCCGTCTGTCAGTATTTGTGTATTCCAATGTAAGCCTGTTGTGCGTGTTAACCGGGCCTAGTAACCGGATGCCTCTCTCTCTGTCTCCTCTAGTATCAGATGGAAGTGAGGACAACATCTTTCTCAGAACTCAGCAGACAGCAAACTGAGCTCCTGGATGTCTGCGCTGCTGTCGCTCTAGTTGGCGTCCTGCCTAAGATTAAAGTTTTTCCAAAACACCCATTAAACTCATTCAGTCTCAACATCCTGAAAAAGACTGATTTAAATGTACAGTAGAATTATAGGAGGGAACGGGGTTAGTTGTCACGTGGGAAAGTTGTCAGATCCAGGACGATGTATTTCAGTAACTAAAGGTCCAGTTACAAAAATGCTTGTTTTCTCTATAAGTGTTCTTAAAATAATAATAATTCAGATGTTTTATAAAGAATACAGCAATAGCATTAATATTATTACAATTTAGAATAACCATTTTCTGTTGTAATATATTTACAAATATTATTTATTCCTGTAAGCCATTACTCCAGTCTTCAGTGTCACATGATCTTCAGAAATCATTCTAATATGCTGATTTGCTGCTTCAAGAAACATTTCTGATTATTATCAGTGATGAAAACAGTTGTGCTGCACAATATTTTTTGTGGAAACTGTGATACACTACCATTCCAAAATGTGGGGCAAGTAAGATATACAAAAAATAAAGTTTTTAGAAGAATCTTCTAAACCGTCTGTTACATTGTTTGACCAGGAGGGTAATTAATGAGTCGCTAGTGTGAGCCAAAGTCTGTCCTGATCACCTTTCTCCCAGTCTTTCTGTGCTTTGTGTATGTGCATATTCCCTCTGACCTCAGTCAGCGTCCATCTGTCTTGGTGGCCACTGCGCTGGATTCTGCTCAGACTGTAATTAGGCCGGTTATCTTGTTAAGACCCGTGACAGCATGTGGCACAACATGTCCTCCAGAGAGGAGGAAAGACTCCAGGAACACAGTCTGAGGAGCTTCATGAGCAGCAGATACAGCATGTGCAGCATGCAAACGAACAGTTGTGAAACTGACGATGACTAAGAAATGCTTGGTCACTAATCAAATGTATCAAATTTGTGACTCTTTGTACAAATCAGAAGAAACTCTTTGGATCGGATCATCATCTCAAATCATGCAAAAGAACATTATCATCAGGTTTTGTTCATGGTGCTTCAGTGCTGTAGACATTACAATTATTCATGTTCAATTTGTATTTTACATTTACAATTATGCATTTAGCAGATGCTTTTATCCAAAGCGGCATGCAAAGAGGAACAAAAGCAATTTGTCACAGATCATATTACACTCTAACAAATGCTGGGTTAAATATAACCCAGCGCTGGGTTAAAAAGGGACAAACCCAGCTATTGGGCTGTTTTGACCCAGCGATTGGGTTATATTTAACCAAGCATTTTTTAGAGTGTATAGTTGACTAAAACTAAAACCATAAAAAATTTACTCAAAACAAAATAAACTCAAAAAAAGAATATATATATATAGACATATTTTAAAAAATATTAAACTTTAACTAAAATTAACATGAAAAGAGAACATATAAAAATAAAAATTAATTTAAAATGTCAATAAAAACTTTAGAAAATACAGTTATATAATGGTGAAGGATCTACAAATAATTACAATGAAACAGCAAGTAATACATTGAATTAAACATGCAATTTTTAAGTAGAAAAAGATATCTTGTAAAATATGCTATTAATTATATAAATAATTTTTACAGTGCATCTAAATGATCAAAGAGCCAACAACATTCATAATATACAATGCCAGGTTTATTAGACAAATAGATTAGGAATTAAACTGTTCACTCAAATTCTCATGCTAATAATGTAATATATATATATATTAAGATTAAATTATAAAAATGCGAAACAGAAGCATTTTCACTAGTGCTTTCGGATCACGCTGTCTATTGTCTACTTTGTTAACAGCCACACTTGTCAAATCTAAAGGTCTTTGTAGCACATCCCAAACATTTCCTCTCGTCATTTAAACACAACAGTGAAACTGTGATGAAATGACTAACTGCAAGCTCTTGATGCCTGGTAAAGAGCATAGGATAAAAGAGACTTTAATTGCAGAAGAGAAGAGGTAGAGGTGGAAGAAAAGAGGAGGAGAGGAGTGGAGGGGAGGCGCGTGTTAAAGAGACTCTTCTGGATTAAGTCCCTTACAAGCTGTTTGGTGACTGTGCTGGACTAGCAGTACAGAGACAAACCTGCAGGAGTCCACAGGTATGAACACAGGACTAATGATGTTGCTACAGCATCTGTACTGTTACTGTAAGTCTCTGCTTCTAACAGACGCTTCATAGATCTCTCGCTGCTTGTGTTTGATTTGTGGATTGTGGTGTTTTGTTGAGATCTGTAGCATAAGGAGATGGAGATGATCTGATATCTTTCTCCAGTGTGAATGACACTGATGGACGTGCTCCGGTTTTCTGTGCGACTCTTTGTATCATACTCTATATGATTATATTTCATGAGCAGCGTCTTAAACAGAGAACTTAAATCGGCTTGCTTAGCTGCTTATTTTCAGATAGTCTATGGTTTGTTCATTTGATCAACAGATGTTCATGTCTTAAAACTCGTCAGATGTTTTCTTTATGAACTGTGCTTTGGTTGCCGTTGTAATTGAGGAGTTCATGATTAAAACATTTGCACAACTGTAATACTGATTTAGTTGGTATTGTTAATATCTCACTCAAACAGTGTAAGAAGCTTCCAGGATCTTTCTGGTCTTTAAAAAAAAGAAATGTTTATAAAGTTTATATCTCTAATCTCTCTTCTTGTGCACTTGCACACATTCAATACAATATAAAAAAAAAAAAAAAAACAGTAAGTGCCGAAAAAATTAAAATTGACGAAAATGAAATAAAACTTAATTGTACTTAAAGAGAAACACTTTCATGGCTAATTTTCTTAACACACTTAAGTACACTTTTAAAAAGTGTGTTTGTAATAGTGTCAAATTAAATGTTTTACTTTAAAGTACATTTCGAATGTTTTAATAATCTTGTGTTGTGCTTTAAAGTACACTTATTTTGATATGTTGACTAACACAATAAAGCATATGCTGATTATAATTTTGAAATTCAAAAAAAAAAAAAAAAAAAAAAAAAAACAGTAAGTGCCGAAAAAATTAAAATTGACGAAAATGAAATAAAACTTAATTGTACTTAAAGAGAAACACTTTCATGGCTAATTTTCTTAACACACTTAAGTACACTTTTAAAAAGTGTGTTTGTAATAGTGTCAAATTAAATGTTTTACTTTAAAGTACATTTCGAATGTTTTAATAATCTTGTGTTGTGCTTTAAAGTACACTTATTTTGATATGTTGACTAACACAATAAAGCATATGCTGATTATAATTTTGAATGTAGCATATCATTTAGTAATACATTTAAATTTACAACAATAAAAGTAATCCTACTTAAGTGGGTCAAAAACACTCTGAAGTTCATCTAATTACATTTAATATAAATTAAAATTGCAATGCATTTTCATTTAAATGTCAATAACATGCAATTAAGTGTCATTTTAAGAGTGTTCTTAAGTTACTTCTCTTCCACGAGGTTAATTGCATTCATTTCTCTGACAGGTTCTCTTTTAGCCATGATTCTGAATGTACTTACAGCTGTTGTAGCACCGTAAATGCTCTCAAACATCTGAGAAAAAACATTAGAGATATTTAAATGCAAGATGACATATTTCACATTAAATACATTTTGTGTTATGACTAAAGCAGTAATTTTTTTAACTAACAGGCATTTGAAGATCCAGATGGTTTTTTGCTAGACTAGATATGGTTGCTAATACAATTTTTATGGATTCAGCAGAAGGCGCATTAAACTGCATTGTATGTGTCTGACTTAAAGTTCTGCCTTCATTCAAACCCGACAATCAGGCTAATCATGTGCATTTAGACAGAAAGATAAACCGAGATGAAGTGCGGATTGAGAGAGACTGGGGAAGCGGCTTCACGCTGTTCTCAGCGGCTGCCATCTGTCTCGCTTTCTAAGCTTGTGACACGCATGATCTTCCCGCACACACATGTGCACGCAAGCACACGATCCGTGGAGTCCAGTTCTGGTCATGCAGTTCATAACTCATGAGTGAGATAGCCTTGCTGTATATGAGTGGCTGAAGTTGTAAAAAATGACCGTGAATTTAACAGTAAAAGACTGTAAAAATGAGATTTCAGTACTTCAATAGGTTGGTATATTAACTTTATATCAGTTAATGAAATTACGGTATTTCACTGTAAATTTAAGTTAAAACCGTAAAACCTAAAATGTTGCTACCGCATTTTTTATGGTAAAATTCCGGCAACCACAGCTGTAAATTTTACAGTATTTTTAACAGTGTATGTGCTCTTATTTTTCATATTGTTTAGTATTGAGGTCAAGTGTACTTTTTCTGGTTTCATCAAAGGTTGCCTGTCTCACAGCGGAATCCTTCCACGATCGATGCGAACCACTGACAGATGCATTGACCGGACAGACATAACCGCTACTAGACAAACCACTAGACAAACTTAGTAATCTAAGTTATCCGTTACTGATGGAGAGACCGTGAGGCCTGGACTTATTTGAATCAGAATTGTATAAATGTCAGTCAGGGATGAGCAACATTCTGGCTCTCTTTCAGTTCACAAGAAGGAATTTGAATGGAATTGGCCAAACTCAACTCGACGTTGAATTGAAGTTGGAATTGAAATGGCAGAAAGAGTACTCAAGGGCAGTTCAAAGACATTCAGCACATAAGTTATTAGACGTATTTCTCAAATTCAATAATGTTGCAACAGTTAACAGCCATCAAAACAAATTAGAATTTTGCCAGAAAGCATCACAATATTGTTTGCATCAAAAAAAACCTTAAACAAAAAAATTGGATGTTTAATTGGAATTTGACTTGGAATGACAGGAAGAGGAATTTACTGAAATAAAATTCAACAAAAGAATTTCCATAGTAACAAACATTAACACAACTGATTATTTCAATTTAGTAAAATACTGTACAATTTTCTCTCAAGTTCAATAATGACACGACAATTAAAAGCCATCTCGACAAATTTGAACTTTGATAAACAGGATCACAAACATCCACCAGATTTTCAGATAACTACACATAAATACTGACTTCAAAATTGTAATCTATTGATTATAAGTTGTTGTTTGGCATGACTTAATAAATGATGTATTCTTCCAGCATGATCCATAAAATGAAACTTTAGTAAATATAACAAAATAAATATAAATGAAATGCAAATGTCTATTTCTATCATTTCAAACATTGATTATAAATATATTTTAATGTGTCTGGTATTACCCCAAATGCTTATTGTACATGTTTGTACTGGAAAGTTCAGCAGGATTTCTCTGCATTTCATTCCATTTTAAACCTACTTTATTAAATTCTATTCTGCATACCGATACTCTACAGTTGCACTCAACGCTCCCTCTCTTCTTTAAGTTGTGGTCAGTATGAAACTCCAGCTGCCTTCCTGCCAGCCATCAGTCCAAGCACTTAATTAATCCAATTAATGGGCAAAGTTCAGCAGGTAGAGTAGATAGAGTACAGACCTGTCTCTCTCAAACACACCCTAATCCTCTGCAGACCCTCGATGACGACTCTTTCCTTGATTTATCCTCATTAGGAGAGACTCTGGCGTACACACTTCCACTTGTGCGGGCGTTAATGTTTGTCCTGTAGTAATTCAGTAGCTTCAAGGAACTGATAATCCCAAACTCTTAAATGGAGCGACCTTCTTGAAAAGCTCTTGGTGTTACATTACAGGTTCTTCAGATTAGTCTGTGGGTTTCTGAGATTCTTGAAATATCAGTAGATGCTTTTTAGAAGAACTAGAGAGTAAAAAAGTTAATTGAAGATCATATAAAGGATCAGTCACATCTTAGTTTGGGGACCGATTCTCACTATTAACTATTAAATACGACTTTTGCCTCAATAAACTCCTAATTAGTAAGGAGGATCTAAAATATGCTCATGCAGAATATGTGCTTTATAAGTACTAATAAACAGCCAATATGCTAGTAATATGCATGCTAATAAGCAACTAGTTAACAATGAGAACTGGTCCCTAAACTAAAGTTACCAATAGATCTCCTGTGGTGTCCTGTACGGTTAAAACAGGAGTCTTTATTTTTAAGCAGAAAATAGAAGTAGGGATGGATGGCATGATGTATTATGTACTGTGCAGTGGTGGAAATGTATTTATGTGCCATTTATAATATGTTATTCCTTGTGTATTAATTGCACTCACTTAAAACAGCTTAAAATTGTATAAATTGCAACTGAAGTTGTTGTAATGTCATAGGTCATAAGGGTCATAAGGGTCATAGACCTTGTGAAAAAGAAGTGCACTTAATGGTACACTGAAAAAAATGTTTCATTCATCCAATTAAAAAAGTGTAGGGTAATGATGTAATAAAAGACTGCACTTGTTTCTTTACACACATTAATACACTTTTAAAAAGTGCACTTTCTAATAATGTCAATTTACATGTTTTAAAGTACATTTTTAACCATTGTTTTAATAATCTTTAGTTGCGCTTTAAAGAAGTGCACTTATTCTGATGTGTTGACTAACATACTAAAGCAAATGTAAAGTACCTGATTATCATTTTAACTGTAGTGTGTTATTTGATATTACTTTTAAAGTTCATATAATTTAAATGCACTAGATTGCAACTTTGTCATTACAAATGTGTAATTACAAATATATTTAAAATACAAGTTTCAATAGAAATGACATTAAAGTATATTTTAGTTTACCATAAATGCTTGTCGGTACATTCATCAGTAGCTTTAACCATAAGACAAAAGGAATTATGAAATTACATGTAAAGATATAATAAAGTTCACATTAAGTTGGTCAAAAGAGCAATTTAAGAATTTAAAAGTTCATAGTTTAAATTAAAAGATCCTCCTGTCTTCTGAAAAATTATAATGACAAGAGTTTTCTTTCTTTCTTTCTTTCTTTCTTTCTTTCTTTCTTTCTTTCTTTCTTTCTTTCTTTCTTTCTTTCTTTCTTTCTTTCTTTCTTTCTTTCTTTCTTTCTTTCTTTCTTTCTTTCTTTCTTTCTTTCTTTCTTTCTTTCTAGTTTTCTTTCTTTCTTTCTTTCTTTCTTTCTTTCTTTCTTTCTTTCTTTCTTTCTTTTTTTCTCCAGGCTTTAGATGAGCCTCTCCGAAGAGTCAAGAGCAGACGGATTACATGTAAATGCACATGGTCTCTGAGCGGCAGATGATCTTGGAGAGGAGGAGGCTGAGAAAGACACCGTAAGCAGCAAGAGACAGTTTTACAGGATTTAGAAGACGAGACAGATACGAGTGCAATCCAGTAGACAGACTGCTTTAAAACTTCAAATGACTGAAGGATAACCTTTAAGCATTCATCCAACAAAAATGCATCCAGCAAGCTCAAGAATGAGTGAGTGGCTTTTCTCCTTCTTCTTCTGTGCCATCTGTTTTTCGGTGTGTGCTGGGACAGGAATGCCGGGTTCTGACTATAACCCTCATCCTCGCTTCATCTGCACCCCCATTCCCGCTGATGCCGATCCCGGGTGCTTCCCAACAGCGGGCGGCCCCGGATCCGGACACCACGGTGGGAACAGCAACGGCTGGTGGAGAATGTCCGAGGAGGCCAAAGCGACAATCCTGCACCTGCGGGAGAGTTTGGTGCAGCAGAAGGAAACCATCCTGGACCAGAGGGAGACCATCCGAGAGCTCACCGCCAAACTGAACCTGTGCGAGGGCTTGAGCCGCACACCCGCACACCTGGCCCATCACGCCCATCACGCCTACCCCACGGCACCCGACACGGGACACCTCGGGCTGGAGCTGGGTCACTATGGCGACGGGGTCGGAGGGCATCATGGTGGGAAAGCTGCGCTGAGCGAGAAGCAGGTGACGGCGGAGATTCCTTCAGCCTCGTCCACGCCGGAGCAGATGAGCAGGGTGCTGCAGAGCCTGAAAGAACGGCTGGACAACCTGCAGGTAGACATTTACATGCATTTCTATAGCGTTTAATACAACACAGATGGTTTCAAAGCTGCTTCAGAGTAACGAACAGGAAAATAACAGTGTTAATGTTGCAAAACATCATTGCCAAAACAATATTGCCATTATTCCAGTCAATTTAATTCAAGTTTTGCTGTCATCCGATTTGATGTGGTTTTGCCATTTTTATTAGTTTTTGTTGTTTTTAAATATGTCTATATTGTTTTTATAGTATAGTCAATAGTATAGTATTTTGTAGTTTTATTTGTTTGAGTACAAGTTAAACTAAATGAAAATGAGAAATGTAAACTAGCTAAAATAAAATAAGTTTTTTTTAGAAGTTTTATATATTTTATTTCAGTTAACATTTATTTTATTTAAAGTAAAATGTATTTATGGTTTTAGTTTTAGTTAACTATAACAACCCTGATTCATATAATATATAATTAATATATATTGATTATTAATAATACAGTACAAGGGATTTTTGATATGCAATCTGAACAAATTGAAAAAAAATGGACTTAGTTCTGGACTTCAAGGTCATAAACTTGGCTGTTTGCGGACCATTGGAAATTAATGGGAAAGACCCTTAAAAAACAATTTTTAGAATAATTTTTGAATGGAATCAAGTATGAAGTCATGTTATTTTTCTTATTTGTTTTTTTTTTCACCAGATGGCAGCAGTCTTGCCCAAATACATGATATATTCTTATATTGGCTTTATATTACAACCCAGAAGTGTAGATTTTTACTGTAGTGAATGTACATGTAAATAAGATCTGAATAAGATCTAAATAAAAATCAAATAATCTAAATCCCAAAAGAAGTACAACATTGTATTGTTACTACTTTATATTAGCGCTATACTATTTCATTAAAAAAGCTACACTTTTACTGTTCTGGGTGAAAAAAATGACCCCCAACAGCCAAGGGGGGCAATGATTAAGAGGGGCAAAAAAGATTATAATAAACCTAAAATAACCCAAATCCCCCTAAAGTGCATAATTTTATTGTTACTACCTCAAGGAAGTTAATTTTATTAAACAACAACAACAAATACACTCAAAAATGACGCCAACAACCAAGGTGTGACCGTTTTTGAAACTGTCAATCAAAGTGAGATGAAGCTGATGGGACACTGCTTCTCTTGCTTTTAAACATGTGGTGTAGAAATGTGTTTCAACAGGGTAATGAAAATAGTCCTGGTTGTCAATTTATCAAATACTATAAGATATGAGGTGCTTTTTTTCACAGTAAGTAGTTAGGAGCCGTTACCGAGATCAGCAGCATACAGTACAGCTGTGCGCAGGCCTTTTCTCAGACTGCTGTGGTTGTGTTGGCAGACGAGAAACACCTCCACCAGCTACTCCAGCTCACTGAAGGACCTCCTGCAGAGGAAGATCAGTGCTCTGGAACAACAGATGCAACACCATTCTGCATCGCTAACCAGCGCCGCACACACTGACCATGAGGATGATGACGGTCACCATGGCAACGCTCACGACGACCACAGCCATCATGATGACAGAGACCACGACGGCCATGACGACCACGGTGATCCTCACGACAACAGCCACCACAGTGATCACCACGACGACGATCACCATGATGACAGCCACCATGACGACAACAGCCATGACAACGGACACCAAGACAGCAGTCACCATGACAACAAAGTCTCCGAACATGGCTTCGAGAGGTTGTCGTATAACTTACAAGGTCACGGAGAAGCACAGAGTGGAGTTACCAGCAAACTGGACGCGGTTCTCAGTCAACTGCAGCATAGGCTCACTGACACGGGTAAGAGCGAATTTAGATGAACTCTACTGGAAAACCCTGCTTAAGACCACTTCAGCTGGACCAATCAGGCCGGTTTTGGACCTTAGATGCTCTAGATTGTTCATCAGCTGGATGATGGACCTGATAGTTCTTGGTCAAGATGATTAGGGCTGGTAGACCATCTATGAACAGTAAAAAGTCAGATAACATGTTCTAAGTTGGTATGAACTGTTTTTACCTTTTATCAGCACTGTAAAAAAAAACACCATATATAGTTGGGGAATTTACCGTTAACCATTTAACAGGTTTTTACTGTAGCATTTTTACAGTCTTTTACCGTTAAATTCACGGTAATTTTTTACAGTGAGGGTGCGATTTGTTAAAAAAAAATGAGTGAGAATGTCATCATTGAAATTTTAATGTAGAAATTTAGACACTGCTGGGTAGATACTGTTACTGATTACAAATTACATTGTAGTTAGTAACCTAATCTTTTAGATTACGTAAGAGTAGTTTTGGATGTCTTTTAGATTACTTCTGACCTAACTCATTTATCACATAATTTTAAATAAAATAATTTTGTACCATTTTGATACATAATTACACAAAGAGAAATAAAATAAATTCCATTCTTTGTTATCAACTATATGGACTGCAATTATAGATGACAATACACCACGGTTTCCTGAAACGGGTTCGTGAAGTAAAAGAGCAAATAAATAAATTATGAATCATTTACTGTGTGAATAATATGTAATCACGCAAGTATTTGTAATTTGATTATGAACACTTTTTAG